TTGTAGCCCTAGAACTAATATGATATTGTACATCAATTTTTAAAAAATTAAAAAGATATTTTAAGCATTTTAAGAAAGAAAGATATTTAAAAAGTTATGCATGTAGCCGAAACCGGTTTGGCTCAGTGGATAGAGCGTCGGCCTGCAGACTGAAAGGTCCCAGGTTCGATTCCGGTCAAGGGCATGTACCTGGGTTGCGGGCACATCCCCAGTAGGAGGTGTGCAGGAGGCAGCTGATCAATGTTTCTCACTCATCGATGTTTCTAGCTCTCTCTCTCCCTTCCTCTCTGTAAAAAATCAATAAAATATATTTTTTTAAAAAGTTATGCATGTAAATTAGAAGTAAGAGACACGTATGGAAGCTTTGAAATTTTTGTGGCCTTTTTTGACATTTGTTTTATTTGAAAATAACCCTTGCTTTCTTCCTTCTACTAAGTGAGGGAGAAAAAGGAAGGTGAAAACTTTATAATAATATTGCTGTTTTTATCTCTAATAATATTTTTTCTTTACTGTTGACACTATCACAAATGTCCCCCAATGGAAGTCAATTTAATATAAATGTTTGTGTGTCTACTCATGTTACTTGTAACTTCTTCTTCAATTACCAATGATCATCATTCCAAACCCAACATACACACATTTTTACATAATTTCCCCTTACTACTTATCTTTCACCCTGAAGGTGTCCATGTTCCCTTGCTACTCAATTATAACCCATTATTGCTTGTTTCAACTGTTTGTTACGTTACCTATGCACACATTCCTTTTGAGTCACCTAAATTCACATCTTTTCCTACATCTTTATAGTGTATTTATACTGAGTGAGGCTGATGTGTCAAAATGTGTCCAGGATTTGATGATGGGATTGCATTTACCCAACTGATTGTCATGTAATACTTCATTTCTCTTTTTCCCTGCGTGGACTTTAGCTTAAAAGTGTTCTATTTAGCTGGCAGTTAAAATAGAAACTCACATAATACAAGGTTGGTATAAATGTTGTAAATAGAGTGGTTTAGGGATACAACCTTGTTGTACTTCTAGAGACCTCAGTTCAAGATCCTATAATGTACTGTTGGTGGTTACTGTATCCACCATAGCTGCTGCAACACTACATCTTACTGTACACATTAACTAAACCAAAACACTTATAAATCTTACACATTGAAAAATAAATCTTAACTAATGTCAGAAGAGATAAGAAATACTGTAATAGGCAAACCTGATAACTATTATTTATTTCAGTTTATATACTCACTTTATGACCACTTACATTTTGAAAAGAGTACTCCCTGGAAAATACTGAGTTCTCAACCACTATTTCATCCTCCTGTGTGTGTCCGATACAGTGTGTATCTATATGTTATGTTGTGCATGTGTGTTTATTTGTAGCCTGATAGGTTAAATTTTAAATATAAATATGTGTGAAATTTGAGTTTTATTCCTATTTCTTATACACAAGATTTTGATTGTTCTCTATTTTTTTTTTTCAGAAAATCTTGGGAAAACATCTGGTAAATGTTTATAAAATCCTTACTCGTAACTTCAATAAAATGACTGCTTTCTATTGCCTTTAGTTCCCTTCTATTAATTATATGCCATCAATAGTCTTTCTGTTTTCCTGGATCATTACATTTAATCAATTAACTAAGGTCTTCTGTAATATTAAATCTCTCTAATTTGGTATTCCAATCTTCCACATATTTCCATCCCATTTTATGTATTCCATACCATTGTTATCCAACCAAGATTTTTTTTTCCAAAAAAAAAAAAAGCTATAGTTTCACTATGCTGGTGAAATGAGGGACATTAGCCTTACAGGAACAGGGACAGGTTCCAATCTGTTCACTTTCCTGGAACACATTCCAATACAGGTCAACATCATTAATTCCATATTTGAGTGATCATGTGATACTTTCCTGATCTAAGGGATGTGAAATAATCCTAATATTCTGAAACATACGTATAATTCATTGGTTAAGTGTGAACCTGAGTCACATTTTCCACTGCCTTTGTACACATTTCCATTGTGTTCACAGGTATACAAATATTTACCGTGGTGTTCCTGGAAATCATTTTATATTCAACCATACACCAGTTTTTCTCTTTGGCTTTAAATTAACACAATTTTAACATTGCTAAACTGCAGTGTCTGCTAATATTTAATGGAAGCATTTTATATCCATCAGAATCGTCACTGATCATTATAAATTTCTCAAGTCTCAAAATTTCAACTGAAATACTTTAAAATTATTACCTGGGGATGTTCCAAAGATCTTTTCTACAACACAAATGTGATCTTTAGGGCTTAAACATCCTCCTTGCAATGCCATTATTTTCATGATCATTTTGATTTTAAAGGGAGTACACTTCAGTAACGTACCAAGGTAATATGTACCACAGGCTGTTTATGGTTGCTGCTACATGCAGCACTTTGAACAGATCTTTGCTTTTACTCTTTTCTTTCCTATGTACTTCTTCATTGTGATATTTACCTTAATCTCTTCATTTTGTTTTTCAGAAAGTCCAAAGCAATATAACGGTAAATTTTCTGAAACCCATTTATTCCCAATCCCCTTTAAATGAGTTGCATCTTGTTTCCTTAATATTCTGTGCCTTTTACACTCTCTGCCAACTATTGCCTCACTCTTCTAGATTTCTACCCTTCCCTTCTCAATAAATTGGTAATGGGTTTCTCTCACATTAGATCTCTGCATTTAAATTTTACAACCTTCCATATTTTCCCAATCCTATTTCCCTAGTTCATACTATTTCTTTCTCTAACACCATTGCCTTTCTCAGTTTTTCCTTCCACTAGAAATTTGTGAGACACAGGGTGTTAAGTTGATATACATATGCTTTCTATTGTGCATCTCTTTCTGGAACACATTAGCTTTCCTGGTCTTACATGACTATGCTTCCCTTCCCAATCTTGGCTACAGACTCCCTCATATTAAGTTCTCTCCATTTAGTTCATTTATCTAAAATGAAATAAGCCAGAGAGAAAAAGTCAGGAACCACAGGATTTCACTCATACATGGGATATAAAACTGAACGCAACAACTGAACAAACAGAAAAACAAACAAAAACTCATAGACACAGTCAATAGTTTGGTGGTTACCGGGGGAGAGGAGGGTTGGGGAGGAAGTAAAGGGTAAAAAGGTCTATTATATGGTGGTGAAAGAAAAGTTTTCTTTGGGTGGTGACCACAGTGTCAATATTCATATGATGGATCATAGAAATGTACACTTGAAGCCTATATATTTTATTGTCCAATGTCTCCCCAATATATTGATGAAGATAAAAATAGAAAATATTACTTATTAGTGATATCACAAATATTGTCGTGTATTCTGGATCCTAATGCATATTTCCTCCAGAAACAATGGCTCAATATTGTCCAAATTAAATTTGGTTGTGACTCTAATATATATCATGGCTATTGCAAATGTAAGACATGTGTACATGGAGAGGCAAAAGTTGGCTTATAGTTGTGAGTACATGAAATACAGAGCTGATACTTGTATTACTATTTACTTATAAAGTATTATGTTATTTAAAAAATAAATGTAAATTTACTTTTGCCACACCCTGTATTTATAATTAGTAACAAAGAACTTCTCAAAGCTAACAAGACAAAAAAAATTCTAAAAAAGGTAAAATAAATTAAAGATATTTTTATAAGATAACTGACAGAACTTTATTCCTTTTTTGTTAATTTGCTACAACCATACCTTTTCTCAATTTTAATATTAAGACAATTGTTTCTGAGCAAATCAGAGTGTTGAGCCAATGTTCCTATGTTCATGCTGTGTTTAAATCTGCACTTTAATAGGTTTAGTATTGCTTGAGTGTTTTACAGTAAATTGAATTTTATTCACATTTGTTCCCCATGATATTCACAATATCATTCCATTTATTTTTCATAAATACTTCAGGAAGAACTTGGTGAATTATTTCTGACAAGCCTTAATTCCCATACCCGAGCAAAATAACTGTTTACTTACTGTCTCTAGCATTGTCTGCCTTTTTCCTTATATGACACTAATGTGCTCACTTTTGACATAAATAATTCTCCAAATTCAGTTCCACCTACTTATTTTTCAACTTTCCTACTTTTCCATTTATTCTGTTTTCCAACTCATACCTGTAGTTCCATATAAATTTTGGTATTTTCTGCTTCCAGAGACTTGCCATATATTCACAACAAATCTTATGAGGTGATAATTAGGCACATGATTGATTTCCACTCTATATACACTATCCATAAAATATCAATGAAATTAGGACTCTGCCTTTTTGTTGTTGTTGTTCAAGGAGGCCATTTTATGCAAACTTTGAGTAATGGGAGAAGATTCCAAATGTGATGAGCACAGTTCCTTCCTCCATTGCCCTGTCAAACACTGTGTAACCCTGATGTCTTTCTTTGATGACTTGTGACCTTGAGCCTCACTCTTTCAACTCTCTGAATATCAGAATTGGTAAAACTTAGCCAAGTTTTACCATTTATATGAATATTTTATATACTATATTTTGGACAATTTCTTCTCAGCTACATTAAATGTTCTTCATTCCGAAAACAGCAATACCTTTACATATTGAAAAAGGATGCTCTATCTTAAGGAAAGTTATGTATAATGAATCTTTCACTCAGACCTCTATGTGGATGGCATGAGAAGCTGTTTGTCACAGCATGATCCACAAAGGTTTTTTCATGGAGCCCTGATAGAATCATTAAATGCGTTATGTCCTTATTTCCTAATGTTATATTTCAAGTATGTTTTAGATTAGAGACACAATGGAATTTGGGAAGAGAGCTCCTTATGTTCATAAGCAGGATTCATGTGATTATTGATCCGGATACAGGTGTTGATAGCAGGGTCCTTTTACTAGATAAAGGCTTCTGCATCACACTTTCAGTACCTACCTCAGGTATGTGCACTTTATCTATATTAGTCTGAAAAAGTGAAAGGCCCAAAACAAGACCAAAGATTACTATTTTTCACCCCAGAGGAAGTTCTGCTTTAGGTCTGTCATACTTTCATTTCCCATCTCATTCCTTTTGAACGAATGGGTATGGGGATGGAGGGTGACACTGGCTCTCATTGGTTGCATGGACTTAGGATCCTTTGGCCCCACTTCTTAGAAATGTGGGTCAGTTTCCATTAAAGAATAAACAGCAGAAGGGTTTCAAATTAGTGTCCTCCTCTCTTCCTGACATTGTGCCTTCATTATGTTTGAACAGTTTTTTTCTTTCTTTCACTCTTTCAGATAAGGGTGACCAAGATAAAGCCAAGTCCCGTGAAGGTATTTCACTTTGCACTTACTCAGTTTCATGTGTTTATTTTGCATTTGTTTTCAACTCTCAAGGATCATCTTCCTTTCTCCACCACACACATGTACACCACTCTTTCATGTATTGCTATGATTTCAACATAAGTTTACTGTCTTCATTTATAATTCAGTTTCCCCAATGATTATTTCTTTGATGGTCCTGTCCTTGTAATGTATGCAAACAATTCCTCTCTGACTAGAAAATTTTGGTAATTACTTTCCTACAAAATTTTGCTGTTTTTAAAGTGTCTGATCTGAAAGTTTTGTGCAATATAGCTCCAGGCCATAGTATGTAGACCACCCCGCTTCAGGCCAATTCCCCACTCCTGCCCAGCCATTACTGCCATTTCATACTCATCTCCCTTTCCCAAGAATTTCTTATGATAAACTTTATTCGGGCATTAATTAAAATCAGGCTCACATAAAATAAAGTTGTGTATGAACCATTTGACAAAACATTGAGGATAGAGGTACCATTAACTTAAGCTGCATAACCAATAAGAGCAGTAGTTCAGGATTCTATGAATCACTGATTGTGGCAGTTTTACTAGCATACGGCTAGCTACCACAATAGAAGAACTAACTATATATCTTTAGCTGCAGCAAGGGGTCTTATGAAGATAAAACCTTATTCTTATGGATGCGCACTATCCCATTGTATATAGGTGACAGTTTATCTTTATGCAAGCAAGATGAAAGGACACTTGGGTTGCTTCTATGTCTTGTCCACTGTGACTAACGCTACAGTGAACATAGGTGTGCATATATCATTGGGAAGAAATATTTTTTCAGATTGTGTGGCATAGGTATCCATAGAAGCTGTTGCTGGGTCATATGGGATCTCTATTCTTCATGTTTAAGGAACCTCCATACTATTTCCCACAGAGGTTGTACCAGTTCCATTCCCACCAGCAGTACATGAGGCTTCTCTTTCCTCCACAACCTCTCCAACACTTGTTATTACTAGTCTTGTTGATAACAGCCACTCTAACAGGTATGAGGTGGTATCTCCAAAATGAGCACAGAAGACAATCAAACAAAACCTCACCGAGATAGGAAAGCATGGAACAGACTCAGGATTCTCAGAGGCATGATGGTATTTGTATGGGGGTAGGGCGGGCGGGCAGGTGGGCTGCAATGATTCACCAAAGAACTTAAATGCATATATGCATAACCCATGGACACAGACAGCAGTGTTTTTAAGACATGGGAGTGAGGCTGTGGGAAAAGTGTCGAGGGGGGCCATAAGCGAAAAAAGGGACATCTATAATGCTCTCCACAATAAAGACTAAAACGAAACAGAACTCATAGACACAGACAACTGTATGGTGTTACCGGAGGGAAGGGGTGGGTAGTGCAGGATAAAGGAGGTGAAATACATGGCGAAGGAAAAATATTTCACTTTGGGTGGTCAGCCCACAATGTGATACCCAGGTGATGTATTAAAGCACTGCACTATTAGTTCCACATAATTTTTAGTAAACAAAATCATCCCAATAAATTTAATTTAAAAAAGTTTAAAGAACTTTTTTTATTAATCTTTATTGTTGAAATTTTTTTATTGTTTTATTGCTTAAAGTATTACAAAGGGTATTACATATGTGTCTTTTTTTCCCCGCCCTTGACAATCTCCTGCCTTCCCCTACCCCCCAGTGTCTTATGTCCATTGGTTATGCTTATATGCATGCGTACAACTCCTTCGGTTGTTCTCATACCCCCCTCCCTCCTGCCCCCCAACCCTCCCTGGCCTTCCCGGTGCAGTTTGACAATCTGTTTGAGGCAGCTCTGCCTCTGTATCTATTATTGTTCATAAGTTTATAATGGTCTTTATTATCCATGAATGAGTGAGATCATGTGGTATTTTTCCTTCATTGACTGGCTTATTTCAATTAGCATAATGTTCTCCAGTTCCATCCATGCCGTTGCAAATGGTAAGAGTTCAGTAGATGAATGGATTAGAAAACTGTGGTACATCTACACCATGGAATAGTATGCTGCTATAAAAACAATTTTTGATACAATATCTACACTAATAAAAGAGAAACATGGTAATTGGCATATGACCACTACCCTTCCCATTGGCTAATCAGGGCAATATGCAAATTAACTGCCAGCCAACATGGCTGCTGGCAGCCAGGCAGCTTGAAACTAACATGAGGCTTGCTTGCCTCAGTGACGGAGGAAACCAACGATCCCTGCCTGCCGTTGAAGACCTCTGAGCCTACAGTTTCAAACATTTTAACAAATATAAAGCTAAAAATA